CCCCCCGTGTTGTGCCCTGCGTGGTGAGACATGGGCCATGCTCTGGTCACCCTCCAGGCCGTGCTGGCATCTCCTCAGCTGCCCCCCGTTTAGTGCCCTGCGTGGTGAGGCATGGGCCATGCTCTGGTCACCCTCCAGGCCGTGCTGGCATCTCTGGCTCACAAAGAGCTGCTGCTGCTCAGGACGTGGCTGCGCTGGTGACCTGGGGCTGGGAATTCCTGTTCCCAAGGCCCTGCTGGCAGAGTGACTGCAGATGCTGCTTCCTCACCTCTAGCCAGCGTGAGGGGGGTTCATTGAAAGGATGGAAAATGCTGATTTTAAATCTCCAGCCTGGCAGGATCTGGAAGGGGGAGTGTGTCCCTAATCTGGGCCCAGTGGGAGGTGGAACGACGGGCTCACTTCGCTCTCCTGGTCTCAGTGTAAACATTCAACCCCTCTAAACCCAGCTGAAAGTCCCACGTCTGTTAATGTCCAGGATAAGGTATGGTACTGTGTGATTTAAAAAATCCTTCCAGGGCCCTTGGCCAGTGTTCCTGGGGCCGTGCATCAGAGGATGTGCTGGGTTGTGTCACCCTTCCTGGAGCCGCCAGTGCGAGGGCACAGCTCTGCAGCTGCACGGAACGCTGAGGTTTGCTGTGACAGTCCCTGCAGCTGATGGAACCAGCCCTTCCTCAGGGATGCCACACAGACACCCTCCCAAGGGACACCGAGCAGCAAGACCACCTTCCACAGCACCTGTGAGAGGCTGGGATCCTGTACTTCGTCCCACTGGTCACAGTGGCTTTTGCATCTCCCACAGGAGTGGTTTTTAATTCTCTGTTGTGGAAACACAAGCCAAAGTCAACTGGAAATTGTTACAGTCCTGATGACATCAGCCTGCTAATGCCCTGTAGTCTGAGTGAGTACATGGGTGGTTTAATGACCGTGGACATGATGGGGATCATTGCTACTCCCAGGTAATCCTGCTGTGTAATCAGCAGGATTAAGAGTGAGACAGAGAGCAGAGTTTGCTGTCTGCCTGAGGCCCCAGCACGCATCTGCCCAGGCTGTGCCTGAGCTGCTGAGGAGTGACAGGAGGTACCTGCTTCAACCCCAAAGTAAATTCAGCTCAACACACTGCCAGCCAGCGTGAAAGCTGTGAGGGAAAACACTGTGGGCATTAAAAGTAAGGAATCCATCTGAAGGGAAGCGAAACTGCAGGTTCCCATAAATGTTTACTAAATTTTAACGGACTGATACAACTGAATAATTTTTCACATTATTGTATTGCTTTTAGAGGATTTTTTTAAATGACCTATGTAAGGACAGAT